AAAGTAAAATCCGTTCTACCAACAGACATAATGAAGAGTGGAAAATATCAGATGTGTAACTGTAATGTTCTTACTGGTGGCGAGTAAAAACAAAATCATCAGGAACACACACACACACACACACAGCTTCCAAATTCTCACTCCCCAAAAATCATGCATTAATTTCCTTCACCATCCTCCCCTGTAGTGAAGTATAAATCCTGCACTGCAACACCTGCCGTTACATCACTCTACACACCTGATATTGCTGGCCACTACCAACTTGGGTATGTTGAAAGTCTTGAGTCTTTACGATGGTCTCACGGCTCAAAGGCTCTGGACTTAAGTTATCATGTAGGTAACTCATACGACGGTGGAATCCCTTTGTAATTTCGCCTCTTGCATCACCACCACCACTTAAGTGAGAACAAAAAAGTGGACTCATGAACCTCTTGAGAACCTGAGCCCTTGTCTGACACCCAGAGGACAAAACACACACATATCTAGGGGAAGGGGGTGGAGGTAGGGGGAAGGGTGGGTAGGGAAGGTGGAGGTGAAGGGAAGGGGTGGAGTAGGGGAAGGGGGTGGAAGTGAAGGGGATGAGGATGAAGGGGTGGGGGTGAAAAGGGAAAGGTAAAAGGGAGGAGTTGAGTGGGATGGGGGTGAAGAGGGTGGGGGTGAAGGAGGGGTTGAGGTAGGGGGAGGAGGGGTGGTGACCGTGAGTTATGTTATGGTTGTGTAGGTCCAGAATGTAAACACAGGGAGGCGAGGAGGGTGAGATTAACACAACAGTTTGGCGGGAAAAATACGAAGTGATAAGACTACACCACAGGTAAAACAATTGCTTCAGGTAAATTAGTCTCTCTCTCTCTTCCCACCCTCTGTCTTCCCCACTCTCTCTCTCTCTCTCCTCTCTACCCACCCTGTCTCTTACGTACCCCAAGTTACATAAAAGCCTCGTGTTGTTGAGGTAATGTGATTCCATCTCTTTGTTTACCTAACTAACTTCTGTGACACTACCGCCACCTGGGGCTAACGTGTTCTGTACCTGTACTTTGTAACTCTTAAGTCTGTGTTTGTATTTCCATTTCTGAAAAAAAAAAAATTCTCGTATATCACCTAAAGATTAACTACCCTAACGCTAACCTAACCTAACCTAACCTAACATACCCTAACCTAGCCTAATATAACCTAACCTAACCACCAACAACCCTCCACTGCAGGTCTCATTAGGGATTTAAACCTTGGGTGAGATAAGGTAGGTTGGGGGTAATTCCTCAGGTATCAGATTTTTTCTTCGGATTTTAATATTCGTTCTTTTGTGTTCATTAGATTATATAGCAGACGTAATGATGTAAAAAATATAGAAGGTAAATATTTCCACGTTCCCCCCAATGTGTTCATATTAGTACTGCGTGTCTAGCGGTGCGTGGCGAAGGAGGAAGAGGGGGGGGTGGAAGGGAGGGAGGGACAGTAGGAGGGAAGGTGGAAGGGGAGGAAGGAAGGAAGGGTGGGAGGGAAGAAACATGGGAGGGAGGGAAGGAGAGACGGAAGGTGGGAAAGGACGGACGGAGGAATAGGTGGAGCAGAAGAAGAAGAAGAAGAAGAACGCCGCCGACGACAATTAGGAAACGTCATCTTTTCCCGCGTGTTTGGTTCTGGCGGGCGCTTTAACCCCGGTTCTTCTGGTTATGATTTGTTTACACACCCAGCCGTCGACTCTCAAGCGAGGTAAATCCGTCCCTGATTCTGAGAGTCGTTGACGGCGCTAAATTGGGCCTGATGATTTAAATACAGCTAATTAGGAAACTTTAGAGAGAGAGAGAGAGAGAGAGAGAGAGAGAGAGAGAGAGAGAGAGAGAGAGAGAGATCATTCCTGCCTATTTCAACCTAACACATTAACCATCCTAACTTTAAAACCGACCTTAAAAAAAATCCCCAGAGAGAAGAGAACGCATTTCAAAGACACATCCACTCGAGGAGGAGGAGGGAGGGAGAGGGGAGGGGAGGGAGGGAGGGAGGGGAGGGAGGGAGAGAGGCCATAGAGACGCCCTCCAGAACACACAAAAACGCTACTGCAGAGAACTTTAGCAGGAATGGATGAAGTTGGCGCCTTCCTTCAACTTGGAAATAATCTAATTTGTATCACAAGATGAGGGAATTACTCTCTTCCTCGCCCCCTCGTTGACAACTGCGGGAGTCCAACACAGAGGAGAGGATCACTAGAGATTAGACACCCCAGCTTATGAGTAAACACCCTGGAGGAGGAGGGGTAGGGGTAGGTGGGTGGGGGTGGGGTAGGGGTAGGTAGGGTAGGGGTGGGGTGGGGGTGGGGTGGGGTGGGTGGGGTAGGGGTAGAGAGGGGTAAAGGTAGAGTAGGGGTAAGGTAGGGGGGGTGGGGTGGGGTGGGGTGGGTGGGGGTGGGGTGGGTAGGTAGGGGGGTGGGGGTGGGGTAGGGGTAGAGTAGGGGTAAGGTAGGTGGGTGGGGTGGGGGGTGGGGTGGGTGGGTGGGGTAGGGTAGGAGTAGGGGTAAAGGTAGGTGGTAGTAGGTGGGTGGGGTGTGGGGGTGATAGGGGTAGGGTAGGATAAGGGTAGGGTACTTAGGTTAGGTTTGCAGGTCAGGTTAGGTCAGGGGGAGGACTGGTAGCCTAAGGTATGAATCAACAGAGAAGATGATAGATATAAATGAACTGGAGGGTTGGTACCCCTGAGTAAGAAACCAAAATAGGTTGGTACCCCTGTGTAAGAAAAAGAGGTAATCCTGGGTAGGAAACAAAGATAGGTTGGTAGTCCTGGGGGAGGGTTGGTACTGTCAGGTAAGAAGAAAAGGTGGTAGGCCTGGGTGGGGAGGCCGTGAACCATTCTTGGCAGGTAGTCTAGGAGTTAATTTTCCCGTTCACAGAACACGACCAGGCAGACTTGTCAGTTACGTAATATTTCTGGAAATGTTGAGAAATGTTTGTGGGGGTGAAGCTTTGAGGCGATATTTGCATGTCACCCACACACACACGTACGCATCCCTTCGGCAAAAGTGAGTTTCCAAACTTATTCAGGGCATTTGTGATTTTGCTATTTTACAGTTTTTATTTTATTATTTTACTGCACTTTACTTCATATTTTATCTATCAAGTGTGGGGGAAACTTTCAGGGGGTAATAATTGTCATGTGGTAAGTAAAAACATATATATCAAACTGAATTTTCGTAAGACTGAACCAAAGGTGACATCTAGCTTAAGCGCCTTCGTCTTACTGCTGCTGTTACGACCACAGTACGACACACGGTGAATGGTGACAATCGCTTTATGATTAACTCAGGTTGAGATAAACATCCAGTGGCCTGTTTATATATATACCACCTGCTAACACTGCCATTGACTCCTGCACAAGTGTTCGTTCCATACTGACGTTCATTTATCGTAGAGCTGTACCTTTATGGGGGAGGGGGTGAAGGGAGCTAATGACAGGTTGTATTATATCACTCTTCATGTCAGTGGTGGTTCAGTGAGTACACACACACACACACACACACACACACACACACACACCAGGGGTTTCATTAGGACCCGACACACATCGAATTGTGTTGCTTCCGCCGTTTTTTATGACCTGTGAAGTGATGAAATTCCAGAGACAAAACTAAACTTTAAAATACCGAGATTAAATTAAGTTAAGTTAGGTTGAACTTCGGGTGAAATAAGCTGGGGTGTTTAATCCTTAGGTGACCCAAGTAATGCAACTAGGCTTTTGTTTGTGTGTCTTCTCTGCCAAGACTACCCCACATACCTAATGAACCCCTGGTACTACCCCACATACCTAGCCAAGACTACCCCACATACCTGCATAAAACTACTCATACCTAGCCAAGACTCCCCTACATACCTGGCCAAGACTCCCCACATACTAGCCAAGACTACCCCACATACCTAGCCAAGACTACCCCACATACCTGCCAAGACACCCCACCTAATAAGACTACCCCACATGCCTAAGACTACCCCACATACCTAGCCAAGACTACCCCACATACCAAGCCAAGACTACCCTCACATACCTGCCAACTACCCCAGCCACAAACTACCCCACATACCTAGCCAGACACACCTGCCAAGACTACATACCTGCAGACCACATACCAGCCCAGACACACATACCCGAAGACTACCCATACCTGGTCAAGACTACCCCACATACCTAGCCAAGACTACCCCACATACCTAGCCAAGACTACCCCACATACCTAGCCAAGACTACCCCCACATACCTAGCCAAGACTACCCCACGACATGAGGTATGGGACACTTAAATCAATTGCACCACGAATGACATAAATCAAGGTGAACAAAATTCATTCACCACCACCTCCTCCTCACCCCTCCCTCCCTCCCTCACCCCTCTCCTCTACGTCCCTCCATCACCCCTCCAGTCCAGAGTGTTGCAGGTCAGGTATTTTGGGGATAAAAGCCTTATCAAACCCGGCCATTCAAGGAAAAATTTCTCCCGATAGAGGATATTTGGTCCAGCGCCGAGAATTTCCGAGTAGGTTTTTCTTGAGGAGTGTATAGTGCAGTTAAGCTCTGGCCAGGAGAGGGTGTGGTTACCTAGGTGTCTTCTGTATGTCTCGTGTCTATTTTGAAGGATAAACTCATTTACAGAACTCTACATGATGGTCTGACGTAGGTTTTATATATTTATTTATTTATTTGTCACTTCACCACTTATCAGCTTAGTTCGTGAGGTTGTGGTCTATCCAGTGTTAGTACAAGAGGAACCCGGAGTACCCTGAGGAAGCCTGTGACGTTTAGTGGTGGAGACAGAGAGACACTGCATAACACCCTTCTCACGTGTGTCCGGACAGGACTCGAACTCTTGACATATTTGAGTTACACCAACACTCCTTTATAGAGTTGTTTACCGGGTAGGTGAATAATTATACTTACGAAAATGAAATAAGTAAATATAAGAAATTAAAATTCTTTTGAGTATACTTTAAAAATGGTTACTTAAATAATCGGTGTGTTTACCTTTAAGTCCGATAGTTCATCAGATCGCCACAGATGTCGCTCTTGCTCCCTTACACACGGAGTCACTGTAAACAAAAACAAAAACAAAAAAGATAAAACCCATTGTATCTTTTACAATCATTATAACTGAGATAATTTACATATACATTATTCAAAAAACAAACCAAAAATCCCAAAACATCGACTGTGAAGATTAAAACCACAGAGAGATACTAATGTTTCCTGTTAATGGAGGAAAAGGAAGAAGCTCGATCATATTCTCTTTACAACAAGGAAATTCATCATGTATATGCAAATTCAGGCAGAGTTTAGTGAGCCCAGGCATTCATAGCCAACCTGCACCGCCTCTCACTCCCGACACTTACCAGCACGAATGGAAAAATCTCTATTCTAAAGCACTAGTTTTATGCTCGTTCTAATGCCTCTTTTTACTGCCTAGTGCCTTTTCTCCTCTGCTTGATGGCTTGAGAGAGAGTGTGTAGCATCCAGTCAAAGGAAAATGTCCACAGTGATGGAAGGTAATTTATGGGCCTCTTTAAAACTGGTGGTATAGGATTGTCATGATGGTCTTATAGTGATGATCGTCCATGATGATGAAGATAGTGAAACCTCGGGGCTTCCCTCTATATATATAATCCGTTATAGGGGATTCATATTTAATGGATCCTCGATATTACGGTTTTCTTCCTATAGTCCGCTAAATAGAGGTTTCACTGTATTGGTAAGTTTAAGAAAGTGTAGCTGGGTGGACTAAGAGAGCCCTGGGATCGAACCACCGACTCTTAGGACAGGCGAACGTTCTATCCACTCACCCACCGCCACACCTCACACAGCGACTAAAAAAAAATACTAAATGGCGTCAAAGTTTCTACTAGAACTCTACTGTAAATATATATCATCAGAGTTCCATTTATTTCCCTAAGTAGGATTAACCCCTTGAGTACAATACCACCCCTCTGAGTACAGCGAATTAACTTAAAGATGGATTTATCCCAAGAGTACGAAGTTTCAACCCTTTAAATACAACTAATTCTCTTGAGTACGATGATATTGTACTCAAGAGGGTTCAGAGTACTCAAGTGATTACAGCAGTACGTTACAGTGTAATTTGGGGTCATTATGGTCCTTACTGTGTGTCGTATAGTTTCACCTAACAGCTAGAAAGTGTCTCGTTATCACCCAACACCTGACCAACTTTTCTTTTGTTTTTAAGAATCAATAAAATAGTTTGGTATTGTTATTTGTTTACTTTTACAGTATTTTACGAGGATAGACAAGCATAAAATAGGATACAAACCAGTCACTAGGGTAAGAAGAGTGTGGCAGAGGTGGCGGATAAGTAGCTACAGCACTCATTTCTTATCCTATCGTTCACTGGTTCTCAAGCGCCCTGAGTCACCAGCTGTGAAAGTGTCCCTAAGTTTTATAATAGAGGAAAATAACAAAAGTTGAATGTAATGAGGTCACACTGCCTCCTTGTGTAGCTAAAGGTTAGTATTCAATATGTTATGTCCGGACTGCCTACAAGGACAGACATTCAGGATGGTAAAGAGCCATTCTACCATCAGGGTTCGCGAGGAAATCAGATGCCACGATCTCTGACCTGACCTGACCTGACCTGACCTGGAGGAGGGGTAAACGGGAGTCAATAAAATATATAAACGTTTTAATGTCTTTCTAAGTCAATTTTGCTTCCAATACCAGAGATTTTATCCATAGAAGCAAACTACGACAGACAAACACTACGTCTTCGATCTTCTACAGAATAGTCGTTGATTTACACACCTTAAGGTTAGGTTAGGTTAGGTTAATCTTCCACAATTATTACCCTCCATCACCACCTCATCACCACCACTTTCACCACCAGTAGACAGAATAGCTACATTCACCCCACCGAGGTATTATTAACGTCGCTCTCAACACTCTGGTACAAAAATGCTAATCTATGAAAAATATTATCGCCGCATTTTTACTTCATTAGAGATGCACATTAATTTTTCGCTCCGTGTCCCCATTTGGTGCAAAGTTTCGTTCGCTTCGTCAGATATTGTCGCTCGGATGACGGCCGCTGTAGGCTGGGGGGGGGGGCAGAAAGGAGGGGTTGGTGAGGGTGCAAGGGATGGGTTGGTGAGGGTGGTGCAGAAGGGATGGGTTGGTGAGGTGTGCAGAAAGGGATGGGTTGGTGAGGGTGTGCAGAAGGGATGGGTTGGTGAGGGGTGGTGCAGAAAGGGGGTTGGTGAGGTGGTGCAGGGATGGGTTGGTGAGGGTGGTGCAGAAAGGGGAGGGGTTGGTGAGGGGTGGTGCAGAAAGTGGAGGGTTGGTGAGGAGGGGGCCTTGATAACTGTACTTCGCCTGGATAATTATTATACTCGGGGTTTAACAGTTAACAAATGGAGAATAGACAGACAGCTAACAGAATAATAGACAGCTAACAGAATAATAGACAGCTAACAGACAAACAATAGACAGGAAAAAGACAGACAATAGACAGCTAACAAACAAAAACAAACAATAATAAGCTCAAGTCAAGAATTATCACCCTAAATATATATCTAAAAAATCGTACAATATCCTTTTTAACTTAAGTGGATAGTCTTGGCGCAATATCGACGCCATTATTAAAGCGGCCATCTTGGTCTTGTCGCTAACGTGAGGCAATTAGAGGAGTCTCCAAGTTTACTAGTGCAGTCAAGAGGGAAACTTTAACGTAAGGTACTTTTAAAATAATACGGAGCTAAACTGAGTGTGAGTGTGAGTGTGTGTGTGTGTGTGTGTGTGTGTGTGTGTACGAGTGAAAGAAACAGGTTAAGTCAGTCTCCCAATCTCTCATTTATCTTCTTCTTCCCCTTCTTTCTCTTCCTTCCCCATATTCTCTCTCTCCCTCCTCCTATCCTCTGCCATCCTTTCTCCTCCTCCTCATTCTTCCTTCTCTCTCTCTCTATACCTCCTCCTTCCCCTCTCTCCCTCCTTATTCCCTATCTCCTTCAACCTTCCTCCTCCCTCCTCCCAGCCAACATTACAGGTGGTTCGGTTGACAGTAAATCGTGAGGCTATTTTCAGAAGAGTCTTACAATCATCCTCAAACTCGATAGCAAACTGAATCGCAGGAAGGAGGCTTGTGTGTAAATAATAATAATAATAATAATAATAATAATAATAATAATAATAATAATAAGAATAGTAATAATAATAGTGATGATAATAATAATAATAATAATAATAATAATAATAATAATAATAATAAAAATAATAATAATAATAACAGTGGACAGTGGACAGAAATGACTTATTACATACAAAGACATAAGGTAGGTGGATCGTTTAACAAAAGCTTTCATTACTAAAAGGAGAAGGAACATGAATTGAAGATACAAATTATTATAGTTTACAGTTGATGGCTCGGGCTGGTCTCTTGCCATACTGTGTGAGGTCCAGAGGTGTTGACATGAAGGACCTCACGCATACACTGACACGTGGACCCACAGACTGAGGTGCTTGTATGTACAGGTGAGTCTCTCTCTCTCTCTCTCTCTCTCTCTCTCTCTCTCTCTCTCTCTCTCTCTCACATAACAAAAACATACATACAAACTTAAAGCGTACACACACACACACACACACACACACACCTACTCCATATTCAATATAGTTTAAGGAAATCAGAATACATTTGAGTTCTTTTTAACATTTCACATGAGGAAATAACTGAAACATTTACTCCACGAGAGAGAGAGAGAGAGAGAGAGAAGGGGACTTACAAGTTTCAGGTGACTTTCAATTTGGGTGGCGCCCAATCACAAAATTGGATTTTATGGCGGTGTGAACGCGACGGACTTCTCAAAGTTGTGTGTGTGTGTGTGCCTTACATTTTTCTAAGCATGTCTGGAGACATCAGGCAACTGTGTGGTGTTTTGTTTACATACTTTACATAAACAGATCAGTTCCTATCAACATACACACCGCCACAACATTTAGAGAAGACCTGACCTGACCTGACCTAACCTAACCTGACCTAACCTAACCTATTACAAGATATTTCCATAGATATAATAATGTCTAAAGCCAAGATAATATTAACTGTCCCTTATCATTATTGCCATATATCGTCCGCCTTCACCTGGTACATGGCTGTTGGTGTGGATCAGTAACTTTGTCTCCCCAATAGTGAACCAGAAATGACCTTTTACCGTATTTGCAGTTTGTTATAAGAGTTGGTTATAGTGTACAGTGTTCATGAGGTCACGTCTTACACCATCGGTATTGTAGGATAAAATACAGTGTTATAGTCAAGACATTATATAACATTAACTGGGGTGGGAGGTAACTCTGCAGGGCGTGTCTGATACAATTGTGTATTTGTGTGTTAACCATAGGAGTCCTGAAGTGTTAAACCATCGTCATCAAAGGGTTAAAATCATCCGCATCAAAGGGTTAAATCGTCGTCATGAAAAGGTTAAAGAGGAAGGAAGAAGATAGATATATTCACTAGGTCATCAGAGACTAGACCAGATTTGTTGCTGAAGGTCACACGTTACATAACATTGCCAGGAGTTGATCAATCCAATAATGCCACGTCCGCATCAAGGAATAACTTCACGTGTTGGGCGACGAAGGTTACATGAAAGTGAAACATAATCACAGCTCGTCGACCATCAAACGCTAAATAAATGAGACACATCATCATATGACCTTCGATTTGCGAGGCGGTGGTAGTTATGTTGATGAAGACCTCGAGGAGCATCACAGTGAAGGAGGGAGAAGTGAAGGTTCTGGAAGCTGGGTTGAGATCAGGTATACTGTGTGTGTGTGTGTGTGTGTGTGTGTGTGTGTGTGTGTGTGTGAGGGCCTCGTGTTCTCTGTCCCTGGGGGCGGATCATCCCTCTCTGGACAAGAACCCTATTCACCCGACAACATTGGTTTACGTTCGACCTTTTGGATTTAACACGGGTTGTGGCACGGCCCTGACTCAAAACACAGGCACCCGAGTAGTGTAGGAGGAGTAGGTACCAGCAGCAGGGCATCAGGACAACTTCTGCCGAATACGTTTAATGAATGGGACAGTGTTTAG